ATATATATATATATATATATATATATATATATATATATATATATATATATATATATATATATATATATATATATATATATATATATATATATATATATATATATATATATATATATATATATATATATATATATATATATATATATATATATATATATATATATATATATATATATATATATATATATATATATATATATATATATATATATATATATATATATATATATATATATATATATATATATATATATATATATATATATATATATATATATATATATATATATAATTATTATTATTATTATTTTTATTTTTTTAATACAAATACTTTTAGCCATGGGTGGGTGGGTTGTTCAAACCACCCGAACCCTACGGGCATGCTTTCTTGTGTGTATCACAGGATTACAAGCATCTTGTTCAACTTACTGCTGTATGACAGCTTGAATCCTTTGCTGGTCCCAGTACCATTGCTGTTAAACTCCATCCAGAGATGATTGGACGTGCTGTTGAGGATAAAATCCATCATCTCAGTTTTTGTGAAATTGCCCAGGAGTCTTGATGAACTGTCTTGGCCATCGTAAACCTATGGAAATCAAAAAGAAGCAGGAATGTTTTTTCGTCAGAAGTCAGCCTCGGCATTGTTTGTCCTCATGACATACCTTCTGTTATAAAATACAAAATGAGTGTTTTCTCAAAATGTTCTTTCGGTGTCTGCCCTGAAATATGTAATTGCTTTTTGAAATTGCATACATTTTGAAACAATAACCTCTGCGGATGAGGGGGGTTGTGCCATAGAAAAATTATTAAAGGTCATAAATCAATGTCAAGTGGCGGTTTTCCATTTTTCTGTTGTGGAGGACACTGTTTCAAGCTTTGATAGAAAACATCATGTGATTCCAGATTGCATGTGCAGAACTGGCCACTAGTCTAAAAACAGACTTATTGCTTCGGTTAATTGTTCCTTTAAATTTTTATAGAACTAGACACAAGTCTAATATATGAGTTGCTGACAGATTCAATTCAGTCATGTGTATGCTCCAAACAACATTCTGATGATTCACTGCAGCATTGTCACTATGATTATAACAAAATTGATGTGTTTGAAACTGCTAAAGCATCTCTTTCGCACCCTTCATTCGTGACTTAATTAGTGTCCTTATTGGTCTTAAGAGACCGTCTTTCTTTTGTGATGGTGCATGTGCCTTGAGCACTGTAACATAAATTAATCTATGAATAGTTAATGGTGTCTCCAAGACCCATTTGTACTAGTCTCTCATGAATTGCAAACCGCTACATGCTAACAGTGTTGCAGAGACGCTGCAAATCACCAAACTTCAATAAACTCCTAAAACTTTGTGTTTATGTGATCGTAACTGACCACATTGGTACAGAATTCAGTAGATGTGTAGTTGTTCAAATGATATTTAAAAGAAGTGAAGAAAGAAAGAAAGAAAGAAAGAAAGAAAGAAAGAAAGAAAGAAAGAAAGAAAGAAAGAAAGAAAGAAAGAAAGAAAGAAAGAAAGAACACTGTAAAATACTTATGTTAATTAACAATTTCTGTATTTTAAGAAATTTGGTATTATTTACGGTTATGTATTGCATTATGGCACATTGATCTCTGATGTTGATGAATAAAATCCAACTCTGTAGTTTGACAGGGTGACTTTTATTGATAATTTAGTAGTTTGAAGCAATATACTTTAAAACAGTTTAAAAAATAATAATATAGAGAGAAATGTGTATTTTAATATATACATTTTATAAATAAAATAAATATTTAATAATACAGAAAAATATAATTATTTTTACCAAGATTTGTACTTTAATATCACTTCAAACTATAAAAAATGTCAATAAAAGTCACCTTTAAAAGGTTTTCTATATCAAATGTTGCTGGAGAAAATATCATGGAAATGTAATAAATATGTAAATGTAATTCAAAAGCATGACCAAATGAAAAAAAATACAGTAAAAAAAATGGAAAAACTGCTAATTCATGCATTTTTTGCAAAGAAGAAAGAGAGAAAGAAAGAAAGAAAACACTGTACAAAATATGTTAATTAACATTTTTCATATTTTGTGGTTATTATAATTAAAGAAAATTAACAAAAAAAAATTTAACTAAAATGTAAAATAACTGTTGTTAACTGAAATAAAAATGAAAACAAGTGTTTTTTAAAAAACTACATATGAAACTGTATTGTGTACATACAAAACTAACAGAAACTACCTAAAATTACAGCAAAAACCTTAGTTTTTGTCTTAGTAAATGTATTTAATACATAACCTTACTGTAAGCCATTTAGTAAAGTAAATCTATGAACTTCGCGCTGCTGGTGTTTGACCCGTACAAGTCTGTAGTCCTGCTGCCGCATTAAAGATCTGAACTTCCCATCACTACTGTGTATCTAACCTCAGAAGCAGCCATGTATAGTGTACTTAATGCTGCAATCTTGTGGGCTGTTGGATTTGAATTTGAGAATGGGTGTGGTAGTGGTAGATAATAGTGTTCATGTATGCTCTTAATACAGGTTTCTAAAAATGTATGGCTGAGTTTTTATTATACAATATTTATTCTGTTGATTTTGAATCTTGCACCTAACAAATATCCTTATTTAGAAAAAGAATCTCAAAGAAATACTGAAACTAAACTAAAATGAAATAATTTTAAATTATAGATACTAATAAAAACTAGTAAATCTACCTCTAACTAAAACTAACTGAATTTGAAAACAAAAAGTCAAAACGAAACAGAAACTAAAACTAATGAAAAATCCAAAACTATTATAACCTTGGTTTACAGTTGAATTACATAATAGGACCTTGATATCTGCTGTTAATGTTGGAAATTAAACTCTGCAGTTTGACAGAGTGACGAAACTATACACTAGTTTTCTATACTGTAACTTACAACACCAAAACAGATCATGCACTGTATCACTTCATATTAATAAAAATGGCATTAAAAGTCACACACACACACACACTCATATATATATATATATATATATATATATATATATATATATATATATATGTGTGTGTGTGTGTGTGTGTGTGTGTGTGTGTTATAGATATATAGAGAGAGAGAGAGAGAG